AGATGTAAGCATGTCATAACAAAGTCTATTTTTTTAAAGGGTAATCGGTTCGGGGCGGGGCAATGTCGCTAAATATCATATCCATCACACCCCGAACCAGGTCATTAAAATCAAAATCATAAACACCCCATTACACCATTGGTTCGATTTTTTTCGCCCCATTCAGTTTGGTTAACTGCGATGTTCAATTTTTATAGTTCGAATTGCCATCCCTAATTATAATCTAATTTATGTGACGTTAACATGGTATGAAATAATAAGTACAATTAAATGAGTTATTTAATTCGATGATTCATTTAAACTATTATCTAACACACTGAGATTATAGCCCCAGTGAAACTGAATAACATTATTTTAGCATATACCAAGTTCAGTCTTCAGTTCAATTAAATAACAAAAGGGAGATTGAAAATAAATTTGGATTGAAATATATAAGTTTTACGGACAGATGGGGCCCAGATTTACAAAATGAAAGTTGAGGTTTGGAAATCGTAAAATTAGAGATGGAATTAAAAAAGATTAATGTGAATAAAGCGAAGTGAAGAAAAAATGGCGACGGAGAATTGGGAAGGTGATGGTAGTAGCGGCGATGGTAGGTGTGACGGTGGGTGCGTTGGGAGGGTGAAGTTGATATAAATTTATCATTTTACCCTTTTTAAATTCGATAAGATTAAGGTTAACTATTTGACTTTTGATCAACAATTGATTTTCGAATGGAAACTATCCAAAGGTCATTCCTCGGCACAAGTTTGAAAATATGAGATCATCGCTGCTACGAATCAGAAGTTAAAAAACCTGCAAAAATTTGAAAAATCTAGAGATGCAACTGCTATTATTCTTTTAAATAAAGTGAAAATGTGTTTATTGATATAAAATTACAATTATATATTCGTTTTTTCATCTAAAAAATTAATTTTTTTTTCTCATTCATCTATCTCGTAATAAATTAACACTCAATTGAGACTACATCATTTACATTTTATTTTCATTGTTTTACACAAAATTATATTTTTATCTTCTATAAAGCTTTCTCACAAGAAAAAAATTAAGCATGTGTTTTACTTTTAATAACATTTTTTAAGTTACAAAGTGTAGGAGATATTACACCGATAATGTGCATATTATATTCATCAAGAGCATGCCGTTAATATGCGTGAAATCGAAACATCATTCGACTTACCGAAATTTGATTTGAGAAGATAAAATAGCGNTACAACCATACTACCTAATCAAGAAGTGTATTAATTGAAGATTTAAACAAAAAAAATGTACATTTTCGTCAATGTCCTCCTTACTGAACCTTAGACAAACTCCGAAGTATGATGAAGGAGCAGAATTTTCTAAATACATCACATAAAAAGCACAATAAGTCAAGTCTTACAGAAAATAAACTTGAGTTTGAAAATCATTTTTCATCAATCCTCTTGATCTAACTCTACATCTACTAAAAACCATATTCAATTCAATTTCTTTTTATAATCAACTTTGGCCAAGCTAATTATATTTTGAATAATGCTATCTAGAACCAATGGCGTTAAACATTAATATAGATGTAAGCATGTCATAACAAAGATTATTTTTTTTAACGGGTAATCGGTTCGGGGTGGGGCGNTTATATTTTTAATAATGCTATCTAGAACCAACTGTATTAAACATTAATATATATGTAAGCATGTCATAACAAAGTTTATTTTTTTTAAGGGTAATCGGTTCGGGGCGGGGCAATGTCGCTAAATACCATATCCATCACACCCCGAACCGGGTCATTAAAATCAAAATCATAAACACCCCAT